CTTTCTGAACACTGTGTGATTGAATAATTCTGTGTGATTGAATAATTCTGTGCTCTTTTCAGTTTGAGACTTTTTTTTTTTGTAACAGGTGCAGCTGCTGAGAATTATTTTTGTTTTTTAACCGGTTTGATTAGTGTCATTGTTACAGTATGTGTGCAAAGCATAGCCAAGGAAGGAACACTTAATTTTAATTTTATACGTTTTTTATCAAGCTTGCTTAATATTGTGCACAACAAACAATCTCAAAATATTGTTCTTATTGTTTATTGTATTTTATTTATTAATTAAAATATTTCTGTAGAATTTTGGAGTCTTTGTTTTTATCCTTGTGGTATCAAAAATGGTATCGAGTATCGAATATTTTCCTTAGTATCGGTATCGAGTTGAAAAGTTTAGTATCGTGAAAACCCTAGTTGATTGCATCGACTCATTGACTCAAATACAATCCCTCACACTAAGCATGCTTGTAGCAACAGTGGAGAGAAAAAACTCCCTTTTAACAGAAAGAAACCTACAGCAGAACCAGGCACATCTATATCGTTGTGTAGTTTGTAAATGCTTAAATTTTTTTAGGCAAAAAAAATCTCACATGAAGAGAACTTCTAAAAAGTTCGAAAGGAGCCAGAAAGTCGATGTCAGATCTTTTTTTTTACTTATTTATTTAAAAAAATGTTAAAAGTGGGATGAGATTGACATTTTTAATGGATTAAATTCAAGGTCTATCATTAATTAATCAGAACTAATTGCATTTTAATCGTAAACAATATTTCAACAACATAAACTACCTTTTCATAAAAACTCTTTTTTTGCTCCTAAATTATTGAATAAATATGAAACAAAAATATTGTTTTTATCCAATAGGTAGTAAAGTCCATCATCAGATTGTTTGAAAGTCATCCTTTAGCTTTTTTTTCCATTAACAACTCATATTCTTTGCAAACCTTTTTGAAAAACTAATTCCAAGTGTGAGAAAACTGGAACATTAGTTATAGCAAAATTTCTTCCACTAAATATGGTGAAAAGAAAATGTGCTGCACTGAGATGGTTTTTTTAAACCTGAATTCCCCCACAGGACCAATGCTTGTGATGCTGTTTTTTATTGTATTTAGGTGTTTAAATCTTTCTTATTTGTTAATAGAAATGAAGTTGGTCCTAAATAATATGTATGTAAGATGAGGAAAACAGATTTTAAAAGATTTGCTTTTTACAGCAGAGTGCTGATTTGAATATCTGTTAAGGAAATAAATTTTATCAAAGTTATATGTTTGTTTTCTGTGTTCAGCACAATAGAGACGACGGTGGCAGACAACAGTAATGGAAAGTACAGCGTCTCCTACAAACCCGAGGAACCAGGGCAGTACTCCGTGTGGGTTTGTGTCAGAGGCCAACATGTTAAGGTACTGAACTGCATTTAAATAGAAACGTTTCTCTGTTTCTACATTGCTGATAAATATCACTATTTTCTGGTTTCTGTTTCTTTAATATTTCTAATCTTATTCGTGTTGCATATATATTTATATTGTTTTCTTGTACTTCTGCTTTTATTTGGAGCCTTGCAACAAATAAATTTGATTTCAGTTCTATTTATTTGAATGACAATAAAGTCTAAATCTAAAGAGCAGCACATGGACTGTAAAATAAAGCGAAAGAAGCCAGATTACTTGATATTTTTGGGAAATAATAAATTATTTATGTATACTGGTGAAAAAACTGAATTAGAAACACTTTAGTTCAGCTGCAACACATGCTATAGAGACCATATTTAGCATAACTATGACCACTAGATGGCAGCAAACTGCTTAAATTTGGGTTTTGTTTGAATATTTTTTAAGGCAATATACTGTTAGCTTGTTTGGGTTAAAATGCTCCTGAGTTTAAAGCTGTTCTTCCTGCAGGGTTCTCCATTTAATCTGAATGTGAAGAGGAAGTTCAGGCACCACGGCGGGACCTTTCACTGCTGCACCTTTTGCTCCAGTGGCGGAGCAAAAGAGGCTCGCTGTGGCTGCCCAGGAACCATGCCAGGTACTCACACAGAAAAACTATCAGTAAAGCGATTGTTTTTAATTAAAGCTTTTTTATCATTTAAACTAATGCAACTCTGTTGTCTCTTATGCCCGTCCTCCTGCAGGAGGATTTAAAGGCTGCGGTCACGGCCATAAGGGGCATCCAGGGAAGCCTCATTGGTCTTGCTGTGGCAGCACAGTGGAGAAGTCTGAGTGTTTGCCTCAGAGCATACTGGCTGCTGTTTCCCCTCGGGGACACCTTCGAACTGCAGAGCTCTGATAAGATGATGAAGAGGACAGCAGGAGGGTCAGAGAAGCTGGGAAGTTAAGACTCAGGTTGATGGTGTAAAGCTAAAAAAGGTTCAATATGGAGGCAATGAGACTATGGAGAGACAATCGGTCTGCTGGCTTCTGTAGCTACAGCTCAGCCAGGAGGAGAAACCTAAAGGAGTTTCTCCTCTGGGTTAAAGCTCCGGAGTCACAATGAGGAAATTAATAGTATTGTGTTTAAAGATCTAATGTTCCGCCTTTAAAATGTTGTTTTCTTTGTTCTTTTATTTTTTTTTCATTGGGAAACAACCCTGAGGGTCCACCAGTTGGGAAAAGAATAAAGTACATACAAGTTAAAGATTTAGAGATCGTATGCTGTTCTGGAAAGACCTGCTGCCTGATTTTATTTTGTGCCCCCCCCCAAAAAAAATGGTTTAATTCAGAGTGGCCTTTTATTGTGGGAAGTCTAATGCACTCCTGTGCACTGATCACAGGTCTAATCAGCATCTTGATATGGCACACCTGTGAGGTGGGATTAATTATCTCAGCGAAGGAGAAGTGCTCATTAATACAGATTTAGTTTAGTTTGTGAACAATATTTGAGAAAATGGTGATATTGTGTATGTGGAAAAAATTTTAGATCTTTGAGTTCATCAAAAATGGGAGCAAAACCAAAAGTGTTGCTTTTTCTTTTTTTATAGAGTGTAAAAATATACAATCCCTGGTAAGTCTTGTTGCCATGAAGCAAATAAAGGCTTTTACATCAATTAAATAAAGGGAGACAGTTAAATGTCTCAAAATGGATTTAAAAAATCCAGAAAATTATATTTCCAATTTATAGAAAATATTCTGAAGCCAAAAGAATCTGAAGTCACAGCAACAGCAAACTACCATCCTAGTGTCTATAGAGGAGAAAATAATGGTGCACCAGAAACAAATATGGCAGAACATGTGTTCTAAAGGGAGAGGACCACACTAGGTGCTAGTATTTGTAATATAATATTAATCAAACATAATATCTTAACACCAGCAGGTTGTTTGGGGCCGTTAAGCTTTTATCTGTTATAGCATTTTGAAACAGCATTGACTGAACACTGGTTGCCTTTCTGGTTAAGAAGCCTTAATGTGAGGCGACACTGGGACCCTAAAGGTGTGACTGAGCCATGAAAGCCTTTCTGTATATTCTGACTAAATAATAAAAGCTAACTTAGTTTTTATTTGCTGATTGTTAAGATGACTTGAAAACTAACACCACTTAGTGCTCCAAAGTATATCATCGATTTAGAGTATTTAAAATTACTGTTAATTGGCACTCGTCTGTTCTAAACATTAAAGTTTGTCTTTTGCTGAATTCTCTCTGCCTTCTGCTTGTAATTCTAAAGGAATAAAAACATTGTTTATGTTCTGATCTTTACATTTACTTTTATGTTGTACTGTTTTGAAATTAGAAACTGATTAGCAAACAATCAAATAATAATGTGTGTGATGTTCTGGTGCTTGGAAGCTATAGGGATTCCCACAATCCTTTGCATCGTAAGGCATTTAAGCACAGCACTTATTAAGTTGAATAAAACTAGTTTATTTCTTCATGTGTTTGCTGTATTCAGAGTGAGGGTGAGCTGGAGCCTTCATCCTGTCTGTGATACTGTTTCAATGGTAAATTCCAGGTGCAGTCCAGATTATTAATCTCCTAAGTTTTAATATCTTAATTGCACTACTGGTATTTATTTGGAAGTATGCTAAGAGGAAATATGATTGAGAGGAAGGATGCAAAGGTCCACAGGCTGAGAGTCAAACAAAAAAGGCTAATTTCTTCCAAATACTTGACTTTCAACCACCAGCCTCTTCAGCTCTGACCTTTTTTGCCTCATAACAGCTTTCTAAGTCTTCAGTTCTCAGCAGGGGTGTGAAGGAGAGAAGATCTGCTTTAAGGAATTATAAACATGTTCTAACAAACAACATTTTGGGCTTTAATTATAATTAATTATATGTCATAAACACAGTGAAAATATTTGATTTGGGACTAGGACAGCCATCAGAAGGAGGTGGTTAACAAAGGATTATACTACAATTAGAATATGACCAAAGCAGGGGGGAAATGTATGAAATGGAGAAGCAAAACATTCATCCTTTGGTATGATTAAATAAAACTGGAAAGTTTATGAAACATGAAGACGAACTATTTGGCAACAGAAGATACTGTTTGAAGAGACGGAATCTCTCCTCTTTTAAACTCCACTGAGGCTGTTTTTGTTTGTTTTATCTTTTAACCTTTAATCTGTAAATTTCTATATTGGTATTTGGTTTTTTGCTATATTCCCTTTTTGTTTAACTTGTTTGCTTTTATAACGCATGTTTTGCAGCAAAGACAAAGAAAGGAAAAATGTTTATAGATACTTCACAGAATCATCCATTTGTTTTATTACCTTCACCATTTTCTCTCTATTTTTTTAAAGATATCTGGTTTATGTTGATGTCTAACTTGATTTACAGAACATGCAAACTGCTAACTTAAGTCTTATCCTTCCACTATTTTGGCAGTTCTTTACCTACTTTGTTGCCAGGGCATAAAAATAGACAGAAAATATGTCATTGTATACATAATAATAGATCTTCATTAATCTCACACTGGAGAAATTCACTCGCATTTAACCCATCCCTTTGGGCTGCCATTGTGTGGCGTCCGAGGAGCAGTGTGGGTAATGCGGAGGTCTTCGCAGAGGTACTGCATGGGGGTCACGAAATTTTTGGTTGATAAAATTTTTTTATATTCCCTCCTGCAATTTTTTCAACTAATTGGAATGTCTTTAAATCCACATTATCATGAATTCAACACACTCTTATAAACAGATAAATGGAGGCAGAAGATGTCTTAGAGTCATCAATGCTCACATTCAGACAGTGACACACAGGAGCTCTTTCAAGCTGGGCACCGTTTCATTCACAACACCTGTCCCATCAACCAGGAATCACAATCAGAAATACTTTTATAATCTCAGGGAGAAATTACTTTAGTTACATTCCTCCATCTGTAATAGAGTGACTATTGGACCAATTTGATAGAACACAATTTCATACAATATATATATAATTAGGGGTTCCCCGCTCCATCTCGCCATCATTTTGGGGTCCTTGGCCTGGAAGACCGCTGATGTAATGTTCTTCCTTGAATTAAACATTTTATTTAAAAAACATGTATAGCGTCACAGCTGTATTATATTGAGTTACCAAACAGGAAAATGTCATTCTGCTCAGACTGTTATTCAGATCCAGCCATTTAGAGCTCAGTAACATAAACTAAAGCTGTAGGCTGACTGTAGGTCCAGTATAGGAGGGAGACTGAACGTCTGCCTAAAGAGTTTTTATTTTGTTAGATGTGAGCTGCTGCCTATGTCTCTTTTTAAACCGTTATAAATTGATGTATCTAATTTCATTTCCTTTTTTCTTGTTGTTTGTGACATTAAAGCTTGAGGTGAGCAGAGGGTTTTTTTCAGAGGGATTATTCCTAAAGTGTCTCAGGCTGAGGAAGTAAATTCACAGCAGAAAAATACATTTCTAGTCCGTTTAGAAGTTCAGGTGAAGCAGGAAGATCAGGAGCTCCGGATGATGGGGTGATAACTAACCCATCCAAACTTCGACAGCCAGACCATTTCTGGCTGCTTTTGGTTCTGACCTGAAGGACTCTCTGGAAGGCTACCAGGACTTCATTTAACCTGATCACACATTAATGCAGAGTTTAAAAAGACAAATCTCAGAGAAATTGTAGGAGCTGTTTATTTAGTACATAAAAAAATTTGCTGGTTTAACACTTTTCACACATATAAAAGTCCTAAGTAATGACATGAGGTGGTTCTTCACTAGAAAAATGTTCTTAATTTAAGCGATGGTCAGAACGGCCCGCTCCCTCTTCCTCCTCCTCTTCTTCTTCTCCTCCAGTTGGCCCGTAGCGTCAGTGAAGAAGGTCACATCCTCCTTGCTCTCTATCTCCCTCTGGAGGAACTGCAGAGCAGCGCTGTTGAATCCCAGCAAATCCTGAAAAAATAAAATAAAAAAAAACCTGTAGAAAGAACAGCCTCTGTGTGTGTTGACCAAATTAACCATTGATGAACAGAAACCCTGATAAAAATGTTCAATTATACTTTCAGTTTAAAAGAAAAATCTATATCAAACTCAGTTATTTCTAGCCTCACAAATAATGTAATAGTTCCTTAAAACCTTTCATTCTTATTGTCAGGTAACACAGAGTACATGTCAGATTAAATAATACTACTTTAGCAATAGTTTCATGGTGTTACTTTATTGTATGTCTCGTACCATGTCTGTTGGTTGTGCTGTTCTTTTTACATCTCTTTGCAGGTGATAAAGCAGACTGAAGATGTTTTATCATTATCTCCCTTTTATCTCCTCTTTCTTTCATCTTTTCTCCTTTTTTTCAGTTTTTCCTTTCCTGTTTTACTTACATTACAGTGTCCATATAAACTGTAAAACTGCATAATTATAATAAAGCAATTTATATGCATAAAACAAGCGGAACACTTTGGCAATAGCCGTACTGCTCCACTTGTTAAAGTAAAATCTATTGGGCTCTTTTTGGCATCAAGACAATTATTCTTAATGCCAAATTGCCAGACAGGACACTGTTAAAAAAGAAAAAAAAAAACGTAATTTTTCATAAACCACTGAAATCAAGCATGTGTGAGGATGTAAAGAATCCACTTTTTAGTATTCTGTATTTTCAACATGTTTTTTTTTTTTCTTTTTCATGGCATAAAATGCATTAGCTGTTAAATTTTAAGTCGTTTCCTAACTGTCTAACTAACCTTTAACTAAATTAATATGTATCCCAAGAAAAAACTGAATATAAAAACCAAAAATGTGATCAGATGTTCTGGTCTAATTTCCCAGGCTGCTTTTCTATGCAGATGATAACTTACTCTGATTTGGCACACTCTGGAGAGCGTATTGGTCTTTAGCTCATCGATGACGGACACCAACATCTGGTTACTGGTGATCTGACCAAAGTGGATCCTAAAAAACAAAAAAGAGCTGCTGCAGTGACACCTTTATCAGGAAGTGCTTCGCTAAACACAGAGGGAAACATGGTTATTTTTCCTACGACTCATATTTCTTTAGAACGAGTAACACTGACAGGATTAATCAGCTATGACTCCTTTTTAAGATGAGTCAATTATCATTCACCGTACTTAAACTCATTGGAAAAAAACAGATTAGCTTCACGTAAGCAGCTTCTCTTCCACTCATCATTTCGCAGTGCAGATAATATGAATGGTTTCATATAAGGAATGGAAGACTTAATAATTTGTGCTTTAAAAGCATCCTAACAGTTGATGTTTATGTTTCAAATTGCTGCTTAAATTAAAACAGCTGTAAAGAGATTCACCTGAAATCATCTTCTGTGTTTCAGACGGAGAGATGATAATCTCCACGTGTTTGGGGGATTTATAACTGTGTTGGATATAACAGCAACAGATTCTAACATTATGAATCATAAAGATAAGATAAATAGAAAATAAATAAAGATCTAAATTATATAAACAATATTTTACTTCTTTCATAGGAAAAACAACTAAAAGACATAATTCCATTTTTTCAAAAGGCTTCCACCTGAAATATTCCTACATTAACTGGCATTTATTAGAGAAGTGGGAATCAGAGTTAAATACAAGGCTAAGTGGGTTAATATGTGGAAAGATAACCAATGAGGGTTTAATGGTCAAATATGGAAGAATTTAATGGAAATGATACAGTTAGATTAATCCACCCATACAGACCTGTTGTAAAAGAAAATTTGGACAAACAGGACACCGTAAACACAAATTCTGTGATTGTTCAGTTATTCAAAAAAAAACGGAGACATGTCAAAGTGAAACGTGAGAACATTTTGGAAATGGAGGTTCCAATAAACCCTTTTTTTACTTATTGGGGGTCGTTGATTTCAAAATAAATCACTCCAATCACACAACTCCAATAATAAAGTGAACCGTTGTCTAAAAATGTTCTGAAATGAAAAACTGCTGTTTTTCCATTTGTTCTGTTTATATCTTAGATACATTATTTACATACTTAATAAACTTAGAGAATTTTCTGTCAAATTAAATAAAAGACAAAATAAATAGCTTAAAATATATATATTATATCAAAACGTAAGACTTTTTAAAAGCCTGTATCCTGTTTAGCTTCACATACTGACAGCCATCAGTCACTTCATTTCCACTGAGGCCATTCATTTATTACCATGTAATAACACAACAACTAAAAAACAGTGGGATGATCAACACCCCTCACTGGGTTTAAACATGTTTGCAAACAGAAATACACATTAAATATGTATTATGATTAGATAGTAGAAAGATGCTTTAAGTAATTTCCCTCTGGGATTATTAAAGTATGTCTGATTCTGAAAGTATGAACAGTAGAGGGATTGAAAGTGGCAGATGACTGAACATCTCCACCAGTGGAAATGTTGATTATTCAACTGATTCCTGCGAAGCAAACAGGTTTGTGCGACGAAAAGCCCTTAAAACTAATCTTAGATCATCTAAAGGGGGAATCTAGTTTAAAAATGCACTCGTTTTATCTGTTTAATGTTTAAAAACAGCATCTATTGTCTATTTTTTAACAGGGTTTATACAGGAATGAATGACTCTAATTTAATGTTTTTTAATGCTCTTTTAATGCTCTTAGAAATAATTTTAATGCCACCAACAGGTCCCCGTCGACAGGCTGCAGCCATACCCCGAATTCCTCGTTTTTCAACCACTTTTGTTGAAATTGGCATTCTTCCCCATTCTCTAGCTTTTTCTCCGACTCAAGTTTATTTTCCAAACATACGTCTTTGCGATCAACTGGACGCAGTTCCATGCAAATATATTGTGATATAATATGTCTGACGAAATTGTTTTTAATAATTTTTTTTTTTTTAAAGAAAGCATTTTAAATGCCACCATTATGGCCAATTAAGACCATAATTAAAAAAATTGTAATTTAATGACTTTTAATGATTTTTAATGACCCACGGAAACCCTGTTTAAAGATGCATGAAAAGAGGCTTAAAAAACTTTTCATGCATCTCCCAGAAACTGAACTAAAAACACTGCAGAGAATAAATCTGAGGTTTCATTTGTATTATTTAGTTTTTTTATATTAATGTTATAATGTAATGTAATGTAATGTATCATAAATATTAAAAGTGTGGCCTTTAGAAATCCTGTTGAGCTCTAAATGAGGAGCCATTTATGACATGAAGGTCTGGCTACTTGGAAGAATATATATCCATTTGTATGCAGACCTGCATAAATAAAAGTTTATCAATAAGACAGAAAAAACCTGAACCTTTGAGAAAACAGAGGAAACTAGATTTAGAAGCAGATAATTAAGCTGAACAGAGTTACGACTCACTTTAGAAGGAAGAAGAGGCAGCGGCAGACGAGCTCCACCTCCAGGCCCTGCTGGATGTAGCTGTTGAAGAGCTTTAGCAGCTCAGGGACGTAAGGAAACGGCAGCACCAGCAGAGAAACCTCCAGCTCACTGGTGATCAAAAGAAAAGAGCAAAAATGGTGAGAAAACCAGGAGAAAGGAGCGTTTAGTTCTTCTGTTCATTCCTTACCTCGATCTGACTTTCTTTATGACGTCTAAAACGTAGCGGGACGGCTGTAGGAGGGATGGAAACCATGGTTACTGATAACATTTGTTAATCTGAGGGAATATTTTAGGTAAATATTCAGTAAGAATCGTTTTACTTACGGTTACGTTTCCAAAGGCCACCAGGATGGGATTGGGTTTAGGAGGAGGCAACTAAAAAAGAAGCGGATTACATCTTTAGATATTCAGAGGTTCAGTCCAGCTAAGCCTTGATAAAACATGCGGGCTGGAGGTCAGAGCTGCAGCTGAAGCTTGGTTTCACCTCTTTGCCAGCTTTCTCACTGAAGTACTTGTGCTCCTCCAGCTTCCTGCTTTCTTCTCTGAAAAGCTCCAGCGCCTCCATGATTCGCTCCGCCTGCACAGAAACAGGCGCCAGCAATGTTTATATTCATCATCGGCCGTCTGACCAGACAGATGAACAATAATTCAGCCAATCGCATTCAATGGTTGGAAATAACAATAATAAAACTTTCTTCAAAAAAAATATAAATAAATAAATAAATAAATAAAGGAATAGGAGAAAATGAATATCTATTAAAGGAAAGTTTAACTATCCACTGCAGCCACTTTCTTTTCCTCATTTTGACCTGTGGGTTTGTAAAAAAGGGTAAAAACAAACTAACTTACATATGAAATTTAGATAATTTACCTTGTTTTCAAAGTTAGTCCTTAATTTTAAGCATTGAACTTTTCAGTATAATCTTCAGTCTTGCCAAGTAAATTTTTCCTGTTAAACTTACAAACTATTTGACTTGTTTTGAGCAACTTTTCCCTCAGATTTCGTGTTTTTATCTGGTTTTTAGACAAATATTATTGGTGGCGTATTAAATACCCAGTCAGTGTTTTAAAGATGTTGAATTCTGTTTATTATGGACAATGTTCCAGTTCATGATTAAAAAGAATGAGCTGAAAGTTCAGCTCACATAGATGAAAGTTAACTAGCTCATGAATTAAAATGAAAATAAACTAAGTTTACACACCTTTAAATTAGCTAGTTCAGGTTAATATGTTAAATTAAGCTACAATCCTACAATAAAACCTCTTATTTCACCCTTTAAATGATTGATCATAATATATAGAAAGAAATGGAAAATACTCAATGCAGTCAATGTATACTGGATGTGCAGTGAAGCCTTTATTTAGCCAAACTACAGAGAACTTCAGAAACATTCAGGTTCTGGATCAAAACTGATCTCTTATGTTCCTCATTCAGTTGCAAATATTTCCAAATTTGGCTCGGAGGTTTTAATTCGATGTGTTGCTTTAAATGTGAAGTGGACGTGGCTGAATTATGGATTTGTTCTGGTGGGCCCAGTTTGCATAAAAATGTGAGAGTCTTGTTTTTGATAGCTTATAAAACTCTGCAAAGCGCTCTACAAAGCTGGCATCAGAAATACCAGAAGATGAGTCTGAATGGTGCAGACTAGAACTAGCAGGAAACATGCTGCTCTGTCTGTTTGCCGTAATAAATGCAATAGAAACTGATGTTATCCAATGAAAATTGTCGTTATCAAATGAACGGGAGCGAAAATGCTTCCTATTGGTCTGCAATCAGCAGAAACATTTTGATAGGTCAGAATGAGGCTTGAAGTNTATGTTTTAACAGGGATTATACAGGAATGAATGACTCTAATTTAATGTTTTTTAATGCTCTTAGAAATAATTTTAATGCCACCAACAGGTCCCCATTGACAAGCTGCAGCCATACCCCGAACTCCTCGTTTTTCAACCACTTTTGTTGAAATTGGCATTCTTCCCCATTCTCTAGCTTTTTCTCCGACTCAAGTTTCTTTTCCAAACATACGTCTTTGCGATCAACTGGACGCAGTTCCATGCAAATATATCGTGATATAATATGTCTGACGAAATTGTTTTTAATAATTAAAAAAAAAAAAAAAAAGCATTTTAAATGCCACCATAAATACATTTAATGAAATTTAATGCTAATTAAGGCCATAATTAAAAAAATTATTATTTAATGACTTTTAATGATTTTTAATGACCCACGGAAACCCTGTTTAAAGATGCATGAAAAGAGGCTTAAAAAACTTTTCATGCATCTCCCAGAAACTGAACTAAAAACACTGCAGAGAATAAATCTGAGGTTTCATTTGTATTATTTAGTTTTTTTATATTAATGTTATAATGTAATGTAATGTAATGTATCATAAATATTAAAAGTGTGGCCTTTAGAAATCCTGTTGAGCTCTAAATGAGGAGCCATTTATGACATGAAGGTCTGGCTACTTGGAAGAATATATATCCATTTGTATGCAGACCTGCATAAATAAAAGTTTATCAATAAGACAGAAAAAACCTGAACCTTTGAGAAAACAGAGGAAACTAGATTTAGAAGCAGATAATTAAGCTGAACAGAGTTACGACTCACTTTAGAAGGAAGAAGAGGCAGCGGCAGACGAGCTCCACCTCCAGGCCCTGCTGGATGTAGCTGTTGAAGAGCTTTAGCAGCTCAGGGACGTAAGGAAACGGCAGCACCAGCAGAGAAACCTCCAGCTCACTGGTGATCAAAAGAAAAGAGCAAAAATGGTGAGAAAACCAGGAGAAAGGAGCGTTTAGTTCTTCTGTTCATTCCTTACCTCGATCTGACTTTCTTTATGACGTCTAAAACGTAGCGGGACGGCTGTAGGAGGGATGGAAACCATGGTTACTGATAACATTTGTTAATCTGAGGGAATATTTTAGGTAAATATTCAGTAAGAATCGTTTTACTTACGGTTACGTTTCCAAAGGCCACCAGGATGGGATTGGGTTTAGGAGGAGGCAACTAAAAAAGAAGCGGATTACATCTTTAGATATTCAGAGGTTCAGTCCAGCTAAGCCTTGATAAAACATGCGGGCTGGAGGTCAGAGCTGCAGCTGAAGCTTGGTTTCACCTCTTTGCCAGCTTTCTCACTGAAGTACTTGTGCTCCTCCAGCTTCCTGCTTTCTTCTCTGAAAAGCTCCAGCGCCTCCATGATTCGCTCCGCCTGCACAGAAACAGGCGCCAGCAATGTTTATATTCATCATCGGCCGTCTGACCAGACAGATGAACAATAATTCAGCCAATCGCATTCAATGGTTGGAAATAACAATAATAAAACTTTCTTCAAAAAAAATATAAATAAATAAATAAATAAATAAAGGAATAGGAGAAAATGAATATCTATTAAAGGAAAGTTTAACTATCCACTGCAGCCACTTTCTTTTCCTCATTTTGACCTGTGGGTTTGTAAAAAAGGGTAAAAACAAACTAACTTACATATGAAATTTAGATAATTTACCTTGTTTTCAAAGTTAGTCCTTAATTTTAAGCATTGAACTTTTCAGTATAATCTTCAGTCTTGCCAAGTAAATTTTTCCTGTTAAACTTACAAACTATTTGACTTGTTTTGAGCAACTTTTCCCTCAGATTTCGTGTTTTTATCTGGTTTTTAGACAAATATTATTGGTGGCGTATTAAATACCCAGTCAGTGTTTTAAAGATGTTGAATTCTGTTTATTATGGACAATGTTCCAGTTCATGATTAAAAAGAATGAGCTGAAAGTTCAGCTCACATAGATGAAAGTTAACTAGCTCATGAATTAAAATGAAAATAAACTAAGTTTACACACCTTTAAATTAGCTAGTTCAGGTTAATATGTTAAATTAAGCTACAATCCTACAATAAAACCTCTTATTTCACCCTTTAAATGATTGATCATAATATATAGAAAGAAATGGAAAATACTCAATGCAGTCAATGTATACTGGATGTGCAGTGAAGCCTTTATTTAGCCAAACTACAGAGAACTTCAGAAACATTCAGGTTCTGGATCAAAACTGATCTCTTATGTTCCTCATTCAGTTGCAAATATTTCCAAATTTGGCTCGGAGGTTTTAATTCGATGTGTTGCTTTAAATGTGAAGTGGACGTGGCTGAATTATGGATTTGTTCTGGTGGGCCCAGTTTGCATAAAAATGTGAGAGTCTTGTTTTTGATAGCTTATAAAACTCTGCAAAGCGCTCTACAAAGCTGGCATCAGAAATACCAGAAGATGAGTCTGAATGGTGCAGACTAGAACTAGCAGGAAACATGCTGCTCTGTCTGTTTGCCGTAATAAATGCAATAGAAACTGATGTTATCCAATGAAAATTGTCGTTATCAAATGAACGGGAGCGAAAATGCTTCCTATTGGTCTGCAATCAGCAGAAACATTTTGATAGGTCAGAATGAGGCTTGAAGTGAAGACAATGTTTTCTGTAAAAATTAATAAAAAAAACTGATTTGAAAATTCAAATCTGAAAAACAGAAATTTAAAAAGAAGAACATATAAAATCTATAAAAATGTTCTTTTGAAACGGAAGATTTCATTTTTTTTTTTCATATTTTAGCATTTTTTGAAAAAATATGAAGAATTAATTTGAAACACAAATAATTAGATATAAAACCTGAGAAAT